GCCCGCGCCGCCCCCTTCGGCGTCGCCCGCCCCAGAGCGCGGCCCCGTCTGGGTCGTGCTGGCGACGCTCGCCCCCCCCCCCCCCCCGCGGGCGGCAGCGCGCTCGCCGCGGCCGCGAAGGCCGCGCAGGTCGGAGCCCGGAGGGTGGCGCTCGACGCCCCGCGCAGACGCCGCTGGACGAAGCAGCGCGGGCCCTTCGGCAGCACGGCTTCGCGGTCAACATCGAGGACCTGCTCGCGACGGAGGTTGTTGAGTTGGTGGCGCACTGCCGCTCGGCACTTCTCGGGGCGAGGAGCGTGGGCGACGAGCAGCGAGCACGGGCGTTCGACGCGTTCGACCTCAAGCGCCCCCTTGCGCCAGCGGTCGGCCCCATCCTGCAGCGCCCGAACGCGCTGCAGCGCGACGTCTGGCTGCTCAAGGATCGCTTCGAGGCTGACCCACGGACGCGGCGTGCTGACGAACGCCTCCTACCTGTCGGCATCGGCCACATGTGGACCACGGTGGGCAGGGAGGTCGTCTACACCGCGGGCGGCCCGCTGCCGACCCCCCCCCGGCTGGGGGAAACAACCCCCGCCCGTGATGCGTGATTTCAAGAGCCCTGGCCACGTGCCATCCTCGAAGAGGCCTGGCTCGCGGTCGGCGGCTCGCTCGCGAACCTGCCCGACTGCCGGGGCGAGCAGGCCGCCAAGCGCCTCGCGAAGGTCGCGGAAGGGGGCGCGGGCGCCAGGCTCGCAGGGGCCGTGGCCCGCCGGGCCGGCGCGGCCTTCAATTGGGAGGAGGGCGCGGGCGCCTGCATCGACCGCGACGCCGAGGCCCAGGAGAGAGGCATGCCGGAGTGGCTGGCGCGCCGGAGGAGAGGGCTGCCCCCGGGGCGGCCCCCGCCCGCCGAGACCCCGGGCGCGCGGTCCGCGGGGGGCCCCCCCGACGCCGCCGAAGAGGAGGGCCGCTCGGGCCCAGGCGGCACCACGGGGGCGAGGAGCGTCTGGGGCGGCATCGACGCCCAGGCCTTGGCGCTCGTCGCCGGCCTGATCTGGCAGGTCTCACTATCGATTTCACTATCGATCTCACTCAACGGGACACCTCGGGACACGACATCGATCTCACTATCGATCTCACTATCGATCTCACTCAACGGGACACCGCGGGACACCGTGGGACACCACGGAACAGTTGTCGATCTCACGATCGATTTCATTATCGATATCACACAACCGGACACCACGGGACACCACGAGACACCACGGGACACCGCGGGACACGTCTCGATCTCATTATCGGTCTCACCATCGATCTCACTATCGATTTCACTCAATGGGAGACCACGGGACACCACGGCACACCGCGGGACACCTCTCGATCTCACACAACGGGACACCACGGGACACCACGGGACACCTGTCGATCTCACAATCGATCTCACTATCGATTCCACTTTTTGGGACACCACAGGACACCACAGGACACCTCGGGGCACCACATCGATCTCAGTATTGATCTCACTATGGGTCCCATTATCGATCTCACTCAACGAGACACCACGGGACACCACGGGGCACCTGTGGGTCTCACGGTCGATCCCACCGTCGATCTCACTCAACGGGACACCACGGGACACCTCGGGGCACCACATCGATGTCAGTGTCGATCTCACTATCGATCTCACCTCATTCTCGATTTCACTATCGGTTTCACTATCGGTCTCACTTAACGGGACAACACGGGACACCACGGGACACCACGGGACACCGCGGGACACCGCAAGCCACCGACGGACGGGCGGGCGGGGGATAATCATTTGTCTTGACCTCGCCCTAGCAACGGCGGACACCACGGGACACCACGGGACACTGCGGGACACTGCGGGACACCGCGAGCCACTGACGGACGGGCGGGAGGGGGAGAGTCATCATTTGTCTTGACTTCGGCCTAGCACCGGCAGTTTCATTCCTCTCGCGCGCCCGCGCAGCTTCGCCTCGCCCGCACGGACGACACGAACGAAACGAAACGATTTCCCTGTTGGGGGTCTCCGTTCCGTTGCGACCTCATCCCCAACTTCCGACATTTCTATGATATTCGCTTCTTATGTTCCGTCGGCGGCCACGTCGGCCCCAAAGGCTCCCCAATTCGGCGCCACACGGTCCACGAGGCCCCCAAGAGGGCTCCAAGACAGCCTCAAGAGAGCGTCGAGCAGCACAAGAGAGCTCCAAAACAGCCCGAGAGTCCCCAGGGGGCCCGAGGGAGCCACCGGAGGATCCCTACATGGTTGGAGAGGGCTACATCATGAGGGCCCCAAGGCGGCTCAGCTACCCATGATATGCCAAGAGGGGCTTGGGACAGCTGAAATGGGCTCCCAGACGGGCCACAGAAGGCCCAAAATGACCCCCCCACGACTGTCTAAGAGGCCGCTGAAAAGGCAAAATTCAAGCATTTCCTATAGAAAAACGCATATTTCTGGGAGCTCCGCTTTTCAGTTCTACCAGCGGTCGCGACGGCCCAAGAGGTTACCAAAATGGGCCCCAGACGGCCCCAGAGGCCCCAAAGAGGGTTCCAAAATGGGCTGAAGAGAGCGTCAAGCGGCACAGAAGAGCTACAAGACGGCCCGAGAGAGCCCCCATGAAGCCCGAGGGGGCCTCCCTCAGACGGGCCAACAAAAGGCCCAAGGAACTCCAAAGGAAGGCCCGGAGAAGCTTCAGAGACTGCCACAATGCTTCCAAAAAGGCTCCCGGCACGCGTTCCAGTAGGCACCCGTGTACTGGGTGCGTTGAGAGAAGAGAGGAGGAGGAGGACAAGGAGGAGGAGGAGGAGCAGGAGCAGGAGGAGCAGGAGGAGGAGGAGGAGGAGGAGGAGGAGGAAGAGGAGGAGGAGGAGGAGGAGGAGGAGGAGGAGGAGGTGGGAGAGGAGGTGGAGGAGGAGGAGGAGCAGGAGGAGGAGGAGGAGTAGGAGGAGGTGGAGGAAGATCAGGATGTCGAAGAGGGGGAAGAGGAGGGGGAAGAGGAGGAGGGACATTGTTATTGTAAGATTATCTTGTTCTGATTCTCTGGCTCGGGGAGGGATGCTGAGGACGAGGAGGGAAGGGGAGCGCAGGATGAAGAGGGCTCGAGAGGAGGAAGGAGCTGAAGTAGGTGAAGGAACATAAGGAGGGACACACCGAAGAGCGGGGAAGACAGGGAGGAGGAGGAGAAGGAGGAGGAAGAAGAGGAGGAGGAGGTGAAGGAACAAGGATCCCTTTCAGGGAGACGCCGACGAGGAAAATGGTGAGTATAAGATGATGGGAAGAGGGAGAACGGGAAGAGGAGGATGGTAATGGGACTGCAGTGGACCAGGGATGATGACGGCGATGACGCAGATGCGAATGACGATGACTATGTCGACGACGACGCCGACGACGACCAACAATCTGGTAATACTGCGGATGATGATGCTGAAAAGTACGATGACGATGATGGCGATGGTGATCACGATGTGGATGATAGTAGTGATAATGATGTTGTGATGGTGATGGTGAAGGTGGCCATGACGATGACGACGAAGATGATGGGGATGAGGATGACAATGATGACGATGATCATGACTCTAGCTAGAACTTGAGCGCGCGCAACGCGCGCGCGATGGTTCTAGTATACATAAATACATGTCTATAGGTACATATATATGCTGTTATAAAAAAGCGTCCCGCGTCACCTCCTCCCCTCCTCTCCTCTCCTCCCCTCCCCTCCCCTCCCCTCTCCTGTCCTCTCCCCTCCGCTCCCCTCCCCTCCCCTCCTCCCCTCCCCTCTCCCTTTACTCTTCCCATACCTGCCTCTGCCATCCGCGTGCCTCTTGTTTCGGCTCACTTCACACGCTTCCCATTCCCATAGGGAGCTTCACCGAAGGCCCCGGTGGCTGCGTTCGCATGGCGGCGCCGCGTCCATTCGGCTCAACCCTCACGAGGGTCGTGGCGCCAGAGAGAACTCCACCGAAAGCCACAGCGGAATCGTTCGGATCGCGGCACCGCGCTCATTTCGGCACACCCCTCACGATGATCGTGGCTCCATGGGAGGCCCCACCGACGCCCTAAGTGGCTGCGTGCGCATGGCGGCGCGCAAATTTTGGTACACCCCTTACGAGGATCGTGGCCCCATCGGGAGCTCTACCGATTGTCCAGGTGGCTGCGTTCGCATGGCGACACCGCGATTATTTCGGCACACCCCTCACGAGGGTCGTGGCCCCATAGGGAGCTCCACCGAAGGCCCCGTTCTTAGCACCACCGGGATCATTTCGGCACTCTCCTCACGATGATCGTGGCCCCATCGGGAACTCCACCGACAACAGTACCCACATCGCGGTGCTCAACACTGCATGTCGTTGGGCCCTTCGCCTGGATAATTTGTAGGGCTTCCCGCTCGCAATCCTGCTCATCCTCTCTCCTCGCCCTCTCCCTCGCGTTCCCCATACTCCCTCTCACAGCACCTTCCTGCTATGGACAGGACCTCGGTCATACTAATCCAGATCACGCCCCAACTGAACTGTCTTGTAATTGGCCCGCAAGGCTTGCTCCTCTGTCTCCTCCTTCCCCTCCCCCTTGTCATCTTCGTTCCTGTCTTCATCGTCCTCTTCCTCCTGTTTGTGCCTGGGCTGCGACTCGCCCGACAGCCTGAAACATTATTTCAGGTGCGGGCCCTTTCGAGATCTGGTGCAGTTGGCGCTAGGCTGGCCTCTGCCCGTTGCTCCCCACGTCTCTCTCGCCCTCGTCGAATCGTCCTTGGACTCGATTCGAGGGGTGGCGCTGATGTTCCACTTGCATCACCTTCTCCACGCGGAGAGACGCGATGCCATCAGCGGGTCGTTCCCCCCTGCATCGCTCGTTCGATCGCCAAGGTCGCTCGGCAGTCCGTTGACCTCCCTTCTGGAGGCACTCTTGTCAGACATCGTCGTAGAGTGGCTGGGTGATGACTTTCGACGTTCTTGGACGCTCCGCCTCCTCCTTCTCGTGCCCCCCCCTCCTCTACCGCGTGCGTAAGGTTGGGCCCTCCTGGACGTGCTCGCCTTCGCCCCCCCTGGGCGTGTTGGCAAGAAGGCCCAGACTCGCGCACCAGTGCCCGACGCCCGCGTGCAGGAGGCCAAGGCGCCGGGGCCGCGGTGCGATCTCGTCGGCGCGCGTTCGACCCCGGCTCCCTCCAAGGGTGAAGGAGGAGGGATGGCGCAGAGGACCAGGGGGAGAGGGGGAGCAGGGAGCGTGGGACGGGAGGATGATGGAGAGGAGCAAGGGGAAGAGGGGGAGGAGGAGAAAACGGGGATGGGAGTAGTGGGGAGGCAGGGAGGGAGGGAGGGAGGATGACTGAGGACCCTGGCCCCCGAACTAAAAAAACCACGGCTCTCGCTTGATACCTCCTCACAATTTATTGCCCCCCCCGCTCCCGCTTGAAACTTCTTCGCAGTTTATCTGCTCAAGAATCGCACTCTCGCTTGAGACTCCCTCGCTATTTACTCAAGTGTCGTGTTTTCGCCATTCAGGAATGGTGCTCTCGCCTTGGACTTCCTTGTAGTTTACCTGGGAATCGCGCTTTCGCCCGACACTTCCTGGCGAATTATGCAGGATTCACGCATCCGCGACACGCCCGTTCGACCCGCCTGTCAGGGTCCGCCCACTTGACCGGCCCGGTAAGGCCAACAGTCGCCCCTCGCTGCTGTCTGCCCGTTCTGATGCCCTCGCTGCTCCTCGCGATACCGCAGTCGGATATGAAGGCCCCGCCGCTGCCTTCGTGGCCTCCTCGATGCCTTGCGTGGCCCCGCTATTTGAGCCCCATGAGGCCGTTCGCGGCCCCGCGGTCGCCTTCGTAGCCCCCTCGCTGACTTTCGTGGCCCCGACGTAGCTCTTCTTGGCCCTCTCGCTACCCTTCCTGACTCCTTTGCAGTGCTCAGTAGCCCCCTTCCGTTGAAGGCTGCGCCAATTACACGTGGCAGGGAAGAATCACATCTCCCCTAGAAGGGGCACGATCGAAGACGAAGAGGGCGGGTATCCAGGGTTCGGGAAACACATGTTGATTGACACGCACGCGTATAAGAGCGAACAGTCCTAAACTGATTGATGATGCTGTCGTTGTTGTTCGTAAGGACGTTACCTGGAGGCCCCGGGGGGGGGGGGAGGGACACGGGAAGCGGGAAACGTGGGGCCCCTGCGGGGCCCCACGTTTCCCGTTTCCCCTCTTCGTCTGCTCGGGATTCGATCGGGATCCTACGGAATTCCATAGGGGTCCTATATGGCTCCCTGTGGAGGCCAGAGCCACGATCCTCGAGAGGGCTGTACCGAAATGAGGCCTCGGTGGAGCTCCCTGTGGGGCCAGGGCCGCGATCCTTGAGAGGGGTGTGCCGAAATGATGGTTTGGTGGAGCTCCTTGTGGGGGCCATGGCCACGATACTCGAGCGGGGTGTGCCGAAATGAAGCCTCGGTGGAGCTCCCTGTGGGGCCAGGGCCACGATCCTTGAGAGGGATGTGCCAAAATGAAGCTTCGTTGGAGCTCCCTGTGGGGCCAGGGCCACGATCCTCGAGAGGGGTGTGCCGAAATGAGGGTTCGGTGGAGCTCCGTGTGGGGCCAGGGCCATGATCCTCGAGAGGGGTGTTCCGAAATGAAGCTTCGGTGGAGCTCACGGTGGGGGCCAGGGCCACGATCCTCGAGATGGGTGTGCCAAAATGAAGCCTCAGTAGGGCTCCCTGTGGGGCCAGGGCCACGATACTCGAGCGGGGTGTGCCGAAATGAAGCCTCGGTGGAGCTCCCTGTGGGTGCCAGGGCCACGATCCCTGAGATGGGTGTGCCGAAATGAAACTTCGGTGGAGCTCCCTGTGGGGCCAGGGCCGCGATCCTTGAGAGGGGTGTGCCAAACTGAGCTTCGGTGGGGCTCCCTGTGGGGGCCAAGGCCACGATCCTCGAAAGGGGCGTTCCGAAATGAGGGTTCGGTGGAGCTCCGTGCGGGGCCAGGGCCATGATCCTCGAGAGGGGTGTGCCGAAATGAAGCTTCGGTGGAGCTCACGGTGGGGCCAGCCAGGGCCACGATCCTCGAGATGGGTGTGCCAAAATGAAGTTTCGTTGGAGCTCCCTGTGGGGGCCAGGGCCACGATCCTCGAGAGGGGTGTGCCGAAATGAGGGTTCGGTGGAGCTCCGTGTGGGGCCAGGGCCACGATCCTCGAGAGGGGTGTGCCGCAATGATGGTTTGGTGGAGCTCCCTGTGGGGGCCAGGGCCACGATCCTTGATAGGGGTGTGCCAAACTTAAGCCTCGGTGGGGCTCCCTGTGGGGCCAGGGCCACGATCCTCGAGAGGGGTGTGCCGAAATGAGGGGTCGGTGGAGCTCCGTGTGGGTGCCAGGGCCACGATCCTTGATCGGGTTGCCGAAATGAAGCTTCGGTGGAGCTCCCTGTGGGGCCAGGGCCGCGATCCTTGAGAGGGGTGTGCCAAACTGAGCTTCGGTGGGGCTCCCTGTGGGGCCAAGGCCACGATCCTCGAGAGGGGTGTGTGCCGAAATTAGGGTTCGGTGGAGTTCCCTGTGGGGGCCAGGGCCACGATCCCTGAGAGGGGCGTGTGCCGAAATGAAGCCTCGGTGGAGCTCCCTGCGGGGCCAGGTCCGCGATCCTCGAGAGGGGTGTGCCAAAATGAAGCTTCGGTGGGGCTCCCTGTGGGGCCAAGGCCGCGATCCTCGAGAGGGGTGTGCCGAAATGAGGGCTCGGTGGAGCTCCTTGTGGGGGCCAGGGCCACGATCCCTGAGAGGGGGTGTGCCGAATTGAAGCTTTGGTGGAGCTCCCTGTGGGGCCAGGGCCGCGATCCTTGAGAGGGGTGTGCCAAAATGAAGCTTCGGTGGGGCTCCCTGTGGGGCCAAGGCCACGATCCTCGAGAGGGGTGTGCCGAAATGAAGCTTCGGTGGAGCTCACGGTGGGGCCAGCCAGGGCCACGATCCTCGAGATGGGTGTGCCAAAATGAAGTTTCGTTGGAGCTCCCTGTGGGGGCCAGGGCCACGATCCTCGAGAGGGGTGCGCCGATATGAAGCCTCGGTGGAGCTCCCTGTGGGTGCCAGGGCCACGATCCTCGAGAGGGGTGCGCCGAAATGAAGCCTCGGTGGAGCTCACGGTGGGGCCAGGGCCACGATCCTCGAGAGGGGTGTGCCAAAATGAAGCTTCGGTGGGGCTCCCTGTGGTGCCAGGGCCACGATCCTCGAGAGGGGTTGGGGAGGAGGAGGAGAAGCAGGAGGAGGAGGAGGCTCTCGCTTCTGCCTCCTCTTCTCCCTCTTCCTCCTCCTCCTCCTCCTCCTCCTCCTCCTCCTCCTCCTCTTCCTCTGTCCGCTGCAATGTTGGCTCAATCGGTAGCTGCGGCTCGAGGCCGCGCCAGGCCGCGCTGGCCGTGCCTGCGGTGGCCCGTGGCGGCGACGAGCACGGCCGTGGGCTCGGCCGTTTGCTCGGGAGTGTTTGCGGCCGTGCGCTCGGCCGCGGGCTCGGCCGTGGGTGTTCGGCCGCGGGCTTGGCGGCAGGCTCGGCAGCGTGGTCGGCCGTGGGCTCGGCCGTGCGTTCGGCCGTGGGTTTTTCCACGGGCTCGGCCTCATGATGTGCGACCCGCACGCCAGGGGCACATTGTGCCGAGATTGGTAAATTGTTCGAAGAGCTCTCCTCCCTTCTCTTCTCCCCCCTTCCCGCCTGGCCTATCTCCTCATGCACCCCCGCGGCTGCGCCGCTGCCCCGCTCCACCTCCTCCATCTCCCCCTCTCCTCCTCGTCCGTCCGTTGCTTTTCGGCCCAAACCAAAGCTACGGCTCAAGGCCGTGCCAGGCCGCGCTGGCGTTGGGCTCGGCCGTGTGTCCAGGCGTGGGTGCGGCCGTGGGCCTGGCCGTGGGTTCGGCCGTGTGGTCGTTGAGCTCGGCGGCGGGTTCGGCCGTGCGGTCGGCCGTGTGCTCCGCCGTGGGTTGGGCTGTGCGCTCGGCCGTGTGTTCGGGCGCGGGTTCGTCCACGGGTTGTTCGGCCGCGGACTCGTCTGCGGGGTTCGGCCGCGGGCTCGGCCGCGGGTTGGTTTCTGGGCCCGGCCGTGGGTGCAGCTGTGTGGTCGGCCGTGGATTGGTCCACGTGGTCGGCCGTACAACAATAACAGCAACCACACCAACAACACCACCTACGACTACGACGACGGCGACGACGACCACGACGACCACTTGCGACGACGACGAGTACGATTACGAGAACCCAAAGCGGACAACTACTTCAACGACGCCGCCGATGACGATGACGACGGCGACAACGACTACTAATACTACTACTACTACTACTACTACTACTACTACTACTACTACTACTACTACTACTGCTACTACTACTACTACTACTACTACTACTACTATTACTACTACTACTACTACTACTACTACTACTGCTGCTGCTGCTGCTGCTGCTGCTACTACGACTACTACCACTAAGATTACAACAACTAATATTATATGATTGTTAACACTAGTCGTCATACTACTACTACTACTACTACTGCTACTACTACTACTACTACTACTATTACTACTACTACTACTACCACCACCACCACCACCACTATTACTACTACTACTACTACTACTACTACTACTACTACTACGACTACGACTACGACTACGACTACGACTGTTACTACTACTACTACTACTACTACTACTACTGCTACTACTACCACTACTACTGCTACTACTTCTGCTACTACTACTACTACTGCTAAAACTGTTGCTACGAGTGCTGCTACCACAACAGCAGCTACTACTACTATTCCTTTTACTACGGCTACTACTATTACTACTACTTCTACCACCACTACTACTACTACTACTACTACTACTACTACTACTACTACTACTACTACTACTACTACTAGTACTACTACTACTATTACTACTACTACTACAACTACTACTACTACTACTACTACTACTACTACTACCTACTACTCCTACTACTACTACTACTACAACAACTACTACTACTACTACTACTACTACTACTACTACCATTGTGACTACTACGACTACCACTAGTACGATCACAGCAACAACACCAACTATTACTTTTCATATTGCCACCACTACTTTTACCACTATTGCTACAACGCCCAC